TTCCTCCACTCCAATACTCTCCCTCGTCCCTCAACTCTCCTCAATACTCTCCCTCTTTTCCCTAGTACTCTCTCTCTTCCCCCAACTCTCCACAATACTCTCCCTCTTCTCCCCAATACTCTCCTCAATACTCTTCCTCTTCTCCCCAATACTCTCCCCCTTCCCCCAAAATACACTCCCTCTTCTTCGCAATACTGTCGTACTTTGACTTGGAGTCTATAGGCTCCAATTCTCCCTCACCCTCTCCCCAATACTGTCCCTCTTCCCCACAGTACTTTGACATGGAGTCTACAGGCTCCAATTCTCCATCTCCCTCTCTCTCGTATTCTCCCCTCTCTCCATCTCCCTACTCTCCCCATTCATCCTATGGTTATTGAGTTTTTGTTTTTCTATTAAATTAATATTCTTTTGTAATTTTTTTTTAGTTAGAAAATTTAATGTTAGTTATTTCTTAACAATTTTTTCCTTGTAATCGGTGCCATTATGAATTTTAATAAGAATTATTTTTTTATTTTCTCTCTGTTGTTCACTTGCAGGGGTATCAGCGTCTCATGGAGGCATACATTTAGGACGCCCAACGCGTTCGCAGATCTCATGACAAATGACGGAGCCGACTTCACAAACTGTCCTGGACTACCTCTAAGCTAGCTGATGAGGCTTTCTCTCCTTTTTGTTCACTACTCACATACATGTTGTAAATAGGGTGTTATATAAACCCTTGCGGAGCCAACTCAATGTTTTCACAGTATTGGAGTCTTTTTTGACTTACTTCTTTGTTTATTCAATGTAACAGTTAACTTTCTGAAAAAAAAAAAAAAAATTAATGTGTAATGTGGTTTGTCTCTACATTTTGCAATCTACTGAAATACAATGTTCTGAAATTGAGTATAATTGGAATTGTAAACAAGGAAAATTGTTTAGAGCTTTTTTATTTGTTTCTTACATGATGGTATTCAGCAAAAATGGACCAAGGTTTGCAAGCAAATTATACTTTATCCTTGTTTGATAATTGTATGACCTGTTTTCTATTTTGGGCATTCTGTTTGTGCCTTTAGGAGTGTGATGTCTTTCATATAATTTGCATCCAGTGGAGCCCATGCCATATATTTGTGGTGACAAAATTGAAATTAAGCTTTTGCTGCTTACTTCATCCTATTTTGAAATCTATAGGCTAGCAAAATTTGTGGGACAATCTTTGTTTTAGATTGATGCTATATTTATATGTTTCGAGCTATGCAAGAGCTCCATTGAAAAAATCAGCAGGGTGGTGCGAGAGAGAGAGAGAGAGAGAGAGAGAGAGAGAGAGAGAGAGAGAGAGAGAGAGAGAGAGACG